GCCTTACCTTTGCCCTTCCAGTGAGCGTGAGCCGCAAAGCCTATGTGGCCGCCGTACTTGCGGTTGAATTCGGCCATGAGCGCCTTGTAAGGGTTGCGGATGAGCAGGATGGCAGCGTCGAAGGCTTCGATCTCCTTCTGCCCGCTCTCATGGGTCTTGATGCAGATGGTCCGCCCGCTGCGCCAGTGGTCCCGCTCACCTTTGAACCCTTCCCGATCCAGGCCAGAGGTTAGGGAATAGGTGGGCCAGCTGGGGTGACAAATCACACCCGACCTCCGGATTTACTGAGCACCTATTGTGTTGTGTGCTGGGTACTGCCTTAGGAGCTGAGTTTAAAAGGGATTTGCGAAAATAGGAGCTCGGCATGGTGGTAATCCCTTGTAATCCCTGCACTGTGGGAGGCTGAGGCAGGAGAGTCACATGGGCAATTTAGCAATTTAACAAGCCTCTGCGTCCAAACTTTAAAAAAACAATAAATAATGAAAAGGGCTGGAAATGTAGCTCAGTGCAAAGGCCCTGGATTCAGTCCCCAGTACTGCAAAGTAAATAAATGCATCCATGAGGTTTATGGTTTTTGAGTCAGATTATTCCAGTAATGATGCAAATGAATCAGAGTCACAGTCACGTTCAGTGCTGTGGAAGAAAAGTGTTAATGTCCAGGTGCTGGCAGAAGGACCTGGGAGCTCCTCTTTGGGTATAGCCCCTGCATGTCCACTCCCTGGGCGCCACATGACACCTGTTTTGGCACATGGGAAGAGGGTGGAAGTGGGCGCCACCCAAGCCCCAAGACACATCCTGCGTTTGAGTATCTCAGGTTGCCCCCTTCTGCCGCCACCGTGGGAAGGGCGGGAGGGCGCTGAGTGTGATCAGTGAGAGACACAGCGCACATGGTCTCAGCCTGCAGCCTGAGCCGGCAGCCAGGTAGAGGCGCTGAAGAGGCACTGAAGCTGAGAACAGGAGGGTGAGGTACAATTTCCTTGCGCAGGATGGGAGGGGAGGGCTAGGGGTAGGAGCAGGGGTGCAAGGTCCTGTGGCGCATGGGAAAAAATATGTCACGGGAGAGAGGGGCACAGAGAGCAAGAGGGCAGTGTGAGGTTGGGGAGGGTTTGGGGATGCCGAGGAAGAGGTCCGTGAGACTAGCCCAGGAGGGTCCAACAGCCCTCAAACAGATTCAAGGCAGAAGAAGAAGGGACAGGACTGCTTCTCATTTCACACGCTGAGGACCTGCTACAGCTTCTGTGCAGCTGGGGGAAAGCACTTTTACACGACGATGTCATGTGGGACACTGGCCTGAGCCCTTTGCAGACACTGGACGATTCAGCCTTCTCAGGGTTCTATGCAGGGTGCTACAGATGAGGAAACTGAGGCAGAGAGGTCAAACAACTCATCCTAGTTAAGAAGCTAGAGGGAGACAGAGCCAGGGTACAAACCCAGGCCACCCAAGTTTCTGAGGCTGTGCCCCCAAATCTCCTGAGAACAAATCATTTGGATGGAATCCTGAGGGCCAAGGAGAGATGTTACTGAACAGGTCTTTAAGACAGTGGCTGTGCTTCCAACTCAGTGAGTGATCCCCATGTCAGTCACCTCCCGGGGCCTCAGTTTCCCCACCTGTAGCACGGGATGACTCATACTCTCCCTTACATGGTCACTGTGAAAAGTTGATGGGGGACACGGTAAGATTTCAGGAAAGGGCAGCTAGCACAGAACACAGCTAGGGTGAAATCACGGGCAGAGAAACCGCCTTCCCGCGTCCACCCCCTCCCCGCTCACCCAGGAAGTTTTTAATGATTTATCTCTGGCTTTGAAGGTGGATAAAGGTGAGGGCTGGAGGGTACCTGGTTCTCATCCTGGAGTCAGGGGCCAGCCAGGGCTGGAATGAGCTTCCCCAAGCCAGGCTCCGTTTTGGGACGGACCACACCAAGTTGTACGGCTCAGACTAGTCTCGCGGTAAGTGCTGGCCTATTTACTCTCTCAGTCTCAGCGGCACATGAGATGCACGGTCTTGTGGGGAAAAAAAAATCATCTCCAGAGGACAACAAGGAGCTTGAGAGTGTGTGTGACCTAAACGTTTCCCCACACTGGAGCCCTGGGTGCAATTTCATGCATTCCATCTGGGGTGCTCTGAATGACACAGACAGAGGGCCTGCTCTGTATGACGTCTTTACCTTTGCTGAAATCCATTTCATTATGTGCAGAGTCATGGAAAGACACAGGCAGGAAAGTACAGGAGAACACAGATTCTCAAGAAGGAAAAATAAATCATCAGCGTCATGGCCTAAGGCTTTAAATCAGCTCTTTGCACTGAGGCCAAAGTCACACTTCCCCTTGCCCATGATGGGGTCAACCTAGCACAGTATTTATGGAGATGAAAAACAAACACAAAGAAGTTGTGGGAAACATCTGCTGCAGATCCCAGAGTCTGGTTGCCTGTGAGGAGCCCTGGAAACGCAGTACAGTGGGGAAAATTCCCTTCAGCAGAGTGTCTCTGGGAGACAGGGGAGTTCTGGGTGTGGAAGGAGCTGTTGAGAAGCCACAGGGGATGGGCTCCCCTGAGAAAACAACAGGGGGCTTCACAGCTGTCCTTGAAGGTCAAGAGGAACCAGAGATGCACGATGGGGGCCAGAGCAGAGCTGCTGAATGCCACCACCAGGGAGGCCTTTCCAAGTCCTTCTTTGCCCTAGGACTCCATTACATAAATGTGGCGCCTTTAAATCACGTTCCTTTTAGAAGTCCCCAAAATATTAGTTTACCTGGGGGCATCCTCGTGACCTTTGAGTTCTGAAGGGGGTGCCTGCGCTCCACTCCCCGCCCGTAGGCCCCAGGGAGAGGGTAGTATTAACTGTGAGGGCTCAGGCTGCAGGAAGAGTTTTTAAATTCCCAATGAAAAGGCAGTTCAAAGCCTCTGCTGCCTGTGACCAGCTGCACATCTGCCCTTCTCAGGAGGGCCATCCAGGAAACAAGACACAGCTAGAGACGGTACTGCTGTGGATTGTTTGTACTTTCTTTCTTTCTTGGTTTTTTTTTTTTTAAGAATCAAGTTAAAAGCGGATAGACACCTACTGCAGTTTGGAGATGAAATATCTCTCCAAGGCTCCTGCTGGAGGCCTGGGCCCCAGTGCAGCACTGTGGTGAGGTGTGGCTTTTGGGAAATAAATGGATCCTGAGGGCTCTGACTTCATCGCGGGATGAATCCACTGATGAGTTTCTAAACTGATGGGCTACTGGAAGGCGACAGCTCAGTTGAAGGGAGCAGGCTCTTAGGCATGAGGCTTGGAGACTCTATCTTGCCCTCTCTCCATCCTCTACGCCCACCCCCAGCGGCCATGAGTGAGCAGCTCTCCTTGACTGTGCCCGTCATGATGCTTCTGCCTGGCCACCAGCCTAAGATCTATGGAGCCAAACCCACCACAGACTGAGACCTCTGAAACCGTGAGCCTGGATCAAGCTTTCCTTCCTTAAGCTGCTTTGCTCTGGTATTTCACATAGCAGTGAAAAATTGAGTCCCCGGCACCTCGCTCCGGTAACAGTAGACGCCAAAGGATGCGGGGCAAAGATGAAATCGTGGAATATTACACATGTGAAGGAAAGAATACTGAGATCTGAGCCTAGAACTGGGGTTTCAGCTTTGGCTTTGCACCAGAAACCCCTGGAGAGATTTGAGAAACTACCAAGGCCTAGCTCAGCCCCAGAATTCTGGTGGAAAAAAAGTATAGGGAGATTTTAAAAGCTTTAGGGTGACTCTAATTGTTTAGTCAGAGCCCAGCCCCTCTCTGACTTTGATAACGAGCTGGCACTCCTGCTCGTGTGTCATTGAAAAGATCGTGTGTATGTTTTACACCACAGCCTCACACACGTTACCTCACAAACATTATCTTATTGTATTTTAGAAAAGCTCTGAGCTCCTTGCTGACCTTGCCATATTACAGAGGAGGGAGGGAGAGCTCAGAGAGGTGGCCAATCTTGCCCAAGCATCGCAGTGAGCTTTCAGACTGCAGGCTGCATCGCCCGACTCCACCGTAAGATTTCACTTCCCTTTCTCTGGAGTCAGAGGCTGAGAACACGCAGCACGCAGACCGCGGTTCCCGCTTCTATGCTTGCAACGAGTAGCAGTGCTGGATTAAGCAGTCACTGCGCTTCTGAGGAAGGACAGAGCCTCAGCGGCTGTAACCCCTCATCCTGGTGCATCATGTTCACACAGACTAACGTGCCCCGGTGGAGCTGACACAGGAGAGGGACCTGCTCTGGGTCCCTGACCTCCATGGTCCCCGAGGTCCTTCTGTTTGTGATGTTCTGCCATGCTGTGATGTCAGACAGTGGAGAACCACGGATGCTTTGTAGCCTGCACCCAGCCACTCTTGGAAATTTGCTTGGCTCCTCCCAGCATCTGCCATCAAGACAATGCAGCCCTGGGTCAGGAGCACAGGGACTTTGATAGCCGGGTCTGGGTTCGAATCCTGACAGAAGTATGGCGCACACTCAGCCTCACATAGGTGGGTGCTCCGTAAATGATTTCGGAAGCCCAAACTAGAAATCAGTAATTGCAGAAGAGCTGGGATTCTACACAGGTCACCCATCCCTCCCCTGATGGCTCCAGCCTTTGGCCTCTCCCTCTTCAGCCTTTGTGCCTTCTCCCCACCCCCCACCCCATTCCTCCCTTCTGTTTCTTTCTCTGAGAGACCTTCCCTGGCTCTCTCTGGGCAACAGCTCTGGGGTGACTCAGCCTCCAGCCTGTGCATGGCCAGTCCTCAGTCTGATGCTCATAGCCTATTTACCGTGCCAAGCATGCTACATATATTAAATTATCAACCTTGCAATAACTGAAGTCCATAGCATTAGCTCTAATTTGTGCCTGATCAGAGAGATGCGGTAGCTTGCCCAAGGTCACACAGCCAGAAAAAGGATCTCAGCTGCTTTGTAGACACAAAGACCACGGCTAAGGGCTGCTCCCTACCTAGGCGTAAAGCCCCTCACAGGCGGAGGATCTACTTCCCTGATCCTCCCACCATGCCGAGGAGAGGGCTTCACGTCCAGTGTGCAGCCATGGTTTCTGGATCCCAGGGACTTCTTGCCTGGATGATAAGAGTAAGAAGGGTGTAGATTCTGAAATCAAGAAAGAGTAAGGTGCAGTCCCTGATGAGTGCACTGAGAAAAGTTTGTGTGACTTTGGGCAAAGTATTTCCCCTCCTCCAGCCTTGTGTTTTGTGTGTGGGGGAGAGCACCATCGTCCTGTCCAGGCCTCCTGTGCAGGGTTAGGTAGGAGTGCTCCCTCTGGCCCATTCAGCAGGTGGCCAGGACATCTATGGCAATCTGAACACGCGTCAAGTGCCCACCGTCAGCCCGCTATAAACTCATGTTGGAAATCAAACTTAGGAAGCACATCCCAAACACAGCAGCCTTCAGGAGACATCGGCGAACTCAGTCTGGTACCCAATCAATGTTCTGCACCCCTATGAACAGCGCAGAGTTGCTGGTTCAGTAAATATCTGTGGTAAGGTGCTCAGCACACAGCAGGAGCTGAAGGGACATCTGGGTTGAACTGAATGAAGGAAGGGACCGGGCACATGACAGGTGATCGACAGATGTCAATTACTGAGCGGATGCAGGTGAGGTACCCAGGACACAAAACTTGAGAAATGTTTTTCAGATAGAAAAGAAGGGAAGCCACCGAGCACACAATAAACGGGTCCTGGCAGGCTCCGTGGCGCACAGTAGGTGCTCAGGAAAGGGTAGTCCCTGCCCTTCTCTGGGCCCCTTTTGAAGTCCAGGAAGCCTCCCGCTCTGCCCATCTCCTCACCTTTGTTGTACAGGGAACCGTCGAAGTAGTAGCTGCCTGTGTAGAAGCCGGTGGCCAGCTCGATGAGGTGTCGGGCCCACGTGTTGCCGGCACCCGGGAAGCTGGCCAGGGCGATGAGCTGCTTGGACTTGGCTGGGAGGAACCTTCTGTCCATGCAGCGGTTGTCTGCAAAGGGCAGGGCACATGCGGACATCAGGGGCACAGGCGGGTGGAGCCTTCCAGAAGGGACCAGGGGACGAATCCCACCCCTGCCACTTCTCAGCCGAGTGACTCAGCACGCAGGATCAGAACGTCTGTGGTCTCGGTTTCCCCTCCTGGAGCATGACGCACATGTGTCCTTCGCACGGCTGAGGATTAAGTAAGGTCGTATATGGAACGGGATAAGCACAGCAGGTACCCAAGGAAAGTCAGCCAGGAGGATGGGTCTTCTCTCCGGCCTCAGTTTCCCCCACAGAGGAAGTCTTTCACATTCACCCCAGCCTTTCCTCTGGATGAAAACTCTCGCCGGCGTCCAACCACGCGGGATCAGGCCGAGGGTTCCTACCTCAGGCCTGCAGGGCGGCCCTCGCACACCCCAGACTTATCCCAGAGGGCCTCCTCCCACACCTCCACCTCCAGCCCACCTCCTGCTTCCCCGCTTCGCTGCCCTGCTTCTTCCTGACGCCCCACCACCGCCTCTTGTGCCTCCCTCACGGGGCGAGGGCTTCCTTCTCTGTTCCCTGACTCCTCGGGCCATCACTGCTGTGCTACTGTGTCCATCGCCTCCACATCCACGGCCACAATCGTAGCCCAAGGAGTGCAGCCAGAGTTCCTTCGCGAAAGGGCGGCTTTCCGAGAAATGCACGGATTTCTGAGCAAAGCACCGCACGACTCCGTCATTGTGTGAACAGCACAGTATGCACCGTCTCAACCTGCTACGCGCTGGGGCTGCGCGGTAGGTCCAGCCTGTCACTCCCACGCTGCACACCTGCAGGGCATGCGACTGGGCTGGGTGGGGCAGACAGCTGCGGAACAGCCCTGTTTGTAAATCTAAAAGTGTAAACAGACAAACACGAGGCAGGCACTAGGTGAAAGGAATCTCTCAGCTCTGTTACAATCTATCCACCCATCCATCTATCATCTATCGCTCCCCCCACAGCGTTGTTCTGTTATACCGGGGATTTGAACACAGGCTTTGCAGTGAGTCACTGAACTGTCCAGGCTGAGCTCTAACTTGTGATCCTCCTGACTCAGTTCCTCAAGGACTGGGATGAGAGGTCCCAGCATAGTCCTACGGCTGTCATAGACACTACCAGAAACCCTGCCTGCATTGTGCTCTGCTGATTCCCCACTACTTTCTATAATATCTAGTATACACGAGATACTTAAATACTTTCTGGATGGCTGGAGAGACGGGCACACAAATGAACGTGCGGCTGGAAGGGTGACAATAATATCCACCTTGCAGAACTTCTTGAAAGGACTAAATGAAATAATGCATGTAACACGTAGTACTCTAACATGCTCCAAAGGAGTAGTTGTTATTTTTCACCAGGCTTCAGTTTCCTAATCTGCGAAATGGGTTGGGTGGGTCCCATTCTGATAGTCTTGATTCTCTGGCTTTGCTGAGACCTCAAGGTGCCACTGCTGTTGAAGTTCCTGAAAAACGCACACCGGGCATCTCTACTGCAACCCCCGTGAGAGACAACAACCATCTATGATTTCTTCGGGTCCCTGAAGCTGTGAGGAAGGCTGAGAGAAAGCCCAGCCGAAGGGCTCTGGAGGAGAGAAGGAAGAGGAGACTCCCCAGTGCGGGCCTGCGGCTGCCCAGGCCTCCTCCTGCCTTCTGCGCATGCGCAGGTGAACCCAGCCCTTCCCCACCACCTACGGGAAGGAAGGTGGGCCAATTCTCCCCCTCTTCCCTCCCAGTTCCAGGAAGCAGGTGTCCTCTGCTCCCTGCAGGCATTGCAATTCCGCCCTCTTCCCTCAGCTTCGTGCTCTGTCTGCCACCACCGTCCCATCTTCTCCGTCTCAGCCGGCTCTGTATCATTAGTGTTCAAACATGAACCAAAAGATCCAGCATTTAGACCTCCCCGTCCAGCGACTGCCACCTACTCTCCTCCACCACGCAGCAGCCGCACATCCCACAGAGCTGCGCATGCGCCCCACGCTGTCTTCCCCCACTTCCACGTGCTCCTCTGCCCTTGCACCGGCCCCTCCTTGATCACTGTCCAGTGGCACCGCTTGCCTAGATCCCCAGGGACTGCCCGGTGCTCAGTGCTGCCCACTCTCATCTCCTCTGACCCCTCGGCCCCTCTGATTGGCCCTCCCAAGGGGTCACCCTAGTTCCTTCGCATTTTACCTTAGCTGTCACTTATTGAAAACCCTACCATGAGCCTCGCTGATTTCCCACGAGTCCTTTGAAGGAGAAGCCTGGCATTCTAGACATACACGCCAATTTTGCCATTCATTTGCTGGATGACCTGGAAACGATTTGTCTGAGCCTGGATTTCCTCGCCTGCAGAATGGAACCATCATGTAACAGTAACGCCTGGGGGTGCCAGGAGGGTTAAATTGGGTTGTGAACTTTGCACCCCGGCCCAGGGCTTTCTCTTAGCACTGTCACTACCAGCCAAGAGGTTCAGATCTCTCCTCTCAGCGTGTTGTCTCTGTTCTCAGGAGGGTGGATTCTGGAGAGAATTGACCAGAGAGTGTCTGCGTGGAATCTGTGAGTGGTTTTCACAGAAACACACCCGAAAGGGATCCCGGGTGCAGGCACTTTATCTAGAGCATGGCTATGTTCTACTATATTTTGATAGGGGTGTGTGTGGATTGTACCATTAACCGGCACACTTAAAATCTGTGCATTTTGCACCATGGAAATGTGATCTCAAAAAGAATCCAAAGCAAGCACTCAGTTACTGAAGTGCAGTGGTGTTTGCAACTTCAAAATGCATCAGAAATAAGGATCGAGGATGGAGAAATTTACAGATATACAATCAAGCAATGGGGCCAAAAGTTAATAAATACAAAACCTATGAAAGAGGTTTATGGGTGTCCTTTGTGTAAGTCTTGATTTGGCTTAGGTTTGACATTTTTTTTCATAATGAAGGGGTGGGGTGGAGGTGGTGAACCAGCTTCTTAATTTCCCCTGAAAACAGAATTCTCCATTCAAGTAATTCCTGGGAGAGCAACAGCAATGCTGAGATAAAGGCTGTTGCTCTCAGCACTAAAAAGAAGGTTTATTTGGGCCTTAAGCCTCAGAAACCACAGGAAAGGCTGCTGGCCATATTATAAATGCTTTCAGATCAAACACCTGGGCTTTATTCCTGGGCCCGCATGACACTGACCAATGTTCTTCACCTCTCCTGGTCTTCGTTTCCTCATTTGCAAAACAGAGCTAACGAACCGCATGGGATTAAATAGCATGGCGAACATGAAGTCTTCACAGTGTCTGTTGAGAAGCTGTGGATAAAAACACAGTCTTGGGACCTGGGCTTGAATTTTCCTGGGTTGGAATCTCAGCTCTGCCAGGTCCCAGCTGTGTGGCTCTGGCCGGGCTCCTCAGTCTCTGTGAGGTGAGTCCCTTCACTTGTAAAATGGCAAGCCCAGCACCCATGTCTTTGGGTCACTGAGAAGATCAGGCGAGTCTAGCCAGGCAAAGGGCTTCAACAGGGCTCGGCACACAATACCTGTCTAATAACTATTTAGCTCCCCGCAGGGAGACCAGGGTTTAGCATGCAGTCGGTTCTCCGTAAATGGTAGTCAGGGTCCCAGGTGGACCAGGTTCTTGTCAGCCTGATAAACCACATGATGCTCAAACCTCCTTTGTGAGTGCCACGGTGACACAGAAAAACTGAGGAGCAGTGACGGCCTAGGGCAGGGCCCTGGGATCAAGCAAATTCATCACTTGGGACTGCTTATCTGCTGTTGAAAACACTCCAGCATCTACCCAGGCCACCTCAGAGCCACTCATGGTCACAGCATAATTCATCTGTGACTCTACCCTTCTGGCGGAGGCCCCACGGTTCTGCCCAGATGAAGTGACCTTCCCTGAAAACCAACAACACTCGGTCCTCCTCGCTGCCACATAAACAGGCCGGAGAGGGGCACCTGCTCAGTAGGCTGCCAGCAGGATGCTAGCTGCCACAGAAGTGGCCACGGTTGGGCCACCACCAGTACCCATCATGCCAAACGGGACAGGCTTCAGTGGGGCTGCCACGAGCTCTGGCAGCACTTTCGTGCAAATCAAAACAGGGCAAATGCCTTTTCCTCTGGGCAGATGTGCTGCCATCTGGAACCCACGGTGTAACAGACAGCATGTGCTGACTTCCGGGCATCGCTTTCCTGTATGGTGCCCAACCTGCCCATCTGTACATGATGGCCTGGTGACAGGAAGATGAGAAAGAACAACGTTTGGCCCAAAAGTGTGCTGTTGGCTGTCCAGGCTTCAGAGGACGCGGGAGAATCCTTCACACAGAGGCAGAGGTTTCTAGTAGGGCGAGTGGAGTCAGAGACCTGAAAGCAAACTGCATTCATGAAAGTAACTGTGGCCAGTTCTGAACCCCTCTGGCCTTGGCTCCCTCACGTGTACAATGCAGATGATGATGATGATGGCGATGCCTAGATCAGCAGCTTCCTGTGGACGTCACATCCCTAGATGAGATGAAGCTCGGCATAAAGGCCGGTTCAGAGTGGATACTCAGTATGTTCAGACCCTGGAGGGACCCTTCGGGAACTTCTGTGGGGCTGAGCACCCCAGGGAGTAACGTCTGCACTCCCAGCTCGGAGAGGGCAATGACCTGCCCATGACCGCAGGCCTGTCTGGGAACCAGTGGGAGAGCCGGGTCTCTCTCCCTCCTCAATCTCACTGCCTCTACAATTAGAAGAGAGCCACCAAAGGTCCTCAGCGATGGTGGTCAGAGACAGGCTCAGAATCTCTCCGAGCACATCCTGCATCGTCCACCCCAACTCTAAGCCCAGCCAAGTTCCAAGCCCTGTCCTCTGGCCTGATGGCCAGGACACCTGTGGTAGGGAGGCCCTTGGCCGGGCATCTGGGGCAGGGGGACGAGGTAGACTTGGCTCACCTTGAACCTGCGTCTGGTACACAATGAAGTAGCTGGGGGTCCCGCAGCTCTCAAACTCCTCCGCGCTGCACTTCTGGGCACAGAACTGTTCGTCCTCCCTCTCGTGGAGGGGAAACCGTCTGGTGGGAAACCCACAGTGGCAGGCGGTGCCGGCGAGAGCCGCCAGGGGGTACTCCTGGGGATGGAGTGCAGAGGGAGAGGAAGAGAGTCACAATCCCCGCACAGTCCTGGGCTGCGGATGAGGGCAGGATCTGTACCCCACCACCCCTTCCCCATCTCCCTCTCGATATGAGAGTTTCCAAACTTCATCAGGGGAGCACTGCCTTCGTGATGATTCTGTCCCATCTGTGCACCTCTGAGTCCTACTTATCTGACTGCTTGAAGACCGCTCTTTAAAAAACAGAGTTGGGCTGGGGATGTAGCTCAGCGGTTCGGTGGCCTGCCATGCCAGTGCAAGGACCTGAGTTCAATCCCAGGTACAAAAAAAAATGAAGTTACTTTTAGGACAGGGTCTTGTTAAGTTGCTAACTTGCCCGGGCTGGGCTTGGAATTTGTAACCCTCCTGCCTCAGAGTGCTGAGATTACAGGCCTGCACAACCACACCTGGCTTCCGTCTTTCAAAGGAAACTTTGCATCCCTAATTACTACAGGAAGCACTTGTGGACAAGTAGCTCTTATGCATGTTTCCATGCTATAAATGCAAATGCCAAATACCATGGAAACAAAACAATCTGTAGGCTCCACACCCACGGATCCAGGCAACCATGGATTGAAAATATTTGGAAAATATGCATTTGTACTGAACACATCTAGACCTTCCTTTTTTGTCATCATTCCTTCCCTAAACTAGAGAGTGCGGCAACTGTTTGCATAGCATTTACATTGCACTGGGTATTAAAAATCATCTACGGATGGTTTAAAGTACATAGGAGGGTTGTGTGCTATGCCTCTTTGTGTAAAGGACTTGAGCATCCTTGAACTTTGGCATCTGCAAGGCATCCCGGAACGCAGGTCCCTGGGATACAGAGGAGTGACTGTAATTACATTCTACCTAGGCACTCACGCCTGCCAAGACGCTGAACCTGAGGTCAGCTCCAGTTTTCCTGCAAAAGAGAGATTAGCTGAGGGAATGTGTGAAAGACACTTGAGCTGTGAGGTGCAGCCTTCTCCTGGAGGACTTGAAAGAAAACCGGGAAAGAAGTGCTTCTCTCTGTCGTGCAGCCTGCCACTGCAAACGCCCCCTTGCTCGGATGGTGACACGCAGCCTGCGCTTTGGGAAAGACCGTCTGAATCTGTCCCATCGAGCCACAAAGGACACTGACCTGATGCTTATCCAGAGGCTCGGTTGGAAGAGCTGCCTCCGGCTGCTTTACAGCTGAGTGGGAGCAAGGTGGACCTGACATTTGGAGGGCCAGTGACCATGCGTGTCCACTGTGACTCTAAACCAGACTCACAGCCTGGAGTTCCCTCAGGAGCCGGTCCAAGAATAACCCAGCATCACACCAGAGTCCCACCTACACGGCTGTGTCCAGAGAGCTGTGGCCGTAGGTTTGGCTTCTTGCTAACAGATACGAAATAGGAACTTTGTTCTCTGGCTGAAGAGCGGAGGGAGAGGTGCTGATATGCAGGAAGGTCCACCTGGGCCAGCTAGTCACACACACAGCCTCCTCCGTCACATTAGACCTGCATCACTTGGCAGCGGTGACTCTATTGCCGCCCACCGGATCCCCTCAGGTTTTCTCTTTGGGCCCCGAGAGGAGCCTGGAAGACAGGAGGAGGGAGACCCGTGGAGAGGCTGCCACCGGTCCTGCTGGCTTGCCATTCCCCCTCGCTGTCTGCTGCGTGGGTCCCCCTGCTCTGGCTGATCTGTAGGCTCCTCCAGGTGCCCAGGAAGAGAGGAAAGTCCGCCTGGAGGGAGCGCCGGGTGGGCAATGCATACCGGCCCAGGGAGCAGGCTGGACCAGGGGAGGTTAAGCCCCCTGTAGTCCATGGACTTCACCGCTCACCTTCCTGGACCCCGCCTAGGGCACAGGGAATGCCTGGAGACCGGAAGCCTCCCAGACACTGGCATGGATCTTATGGCCCATCCACGGGGTCTCCAGGGGCGAGTGGGTTTGGAGTCAGCCCCTAAGTGTCCACCCCAGCTCTGCACTCACTCAGGTTGTGGGCTTGGGCAAGGAGCTCCACACCTGAGCCTTGCTTTTCTCACCCGTGAAATGAGGGTGAACATCTCAATCTCAGGTTTGCCTAAGACTGTGCCCCACGGTGGCTGCAGGGAGGGTGTCCTGAGCACACAGCTGGCTCACTCCCCCGCACTCCGCGTGGGGCCTGGCACACAGTAGGTCCTCATTCCATATTTGAGCGCAGATGAATGGAAGAACCTTTAGGAGGGAAAGGAGGGAGGGTTCTTCTCTGCTCACTGTGTAATGAGCTCCTTTTAAAGGAAGGCTGGAGCTCCTGAGACATCACTGATTGCCAGTTCTGTGCCCAGCTCCGGGCACGGTACTGGGACAGCACAAAATTTATAAGCACAGCTTCTGCCCTTGATCAGTCAGTCTGGCTAGGAAGGAAGGATGAGCGGTCAGGTGTCAAAGATCTAAAGTGGAGGAGGGAATCTGTGGATCATCCGTCCGATCCAGCTGCCACGGTGCCCCAAGTTCTGAGGCCAGGCCTGCCCTCCTCTGCTTCCACACCTGCAGTGACAGGGAGCTTAGGCTGTCCCAAGGGGGCACTGTCCTTGCTTCGACCTGCCGGCAGTCTCCTACTCGTGTGTCTATGCCCTCCCTGCAGGCCCTGCCCTTGTTCCTGAGGGTTAGCATGTGGGCACAAGCAAACACACACACACACACACACACACACACACACACACACACACACC